AGACTTAACCTTATCCTCACTTGCGAACCCCCATTGACCACCAATCCACTTTAACGGGACGAGGTCGATCCGCTGCTTTCCAACCTCCTTATTCCCAGCGACGATAGTTCCACCAGCACCAGTGCCACTAACACGTAATACGTCGACCACATACTCACAATCCAACCTCCCCCTGGCATCCCCGACATCCCCAGCAACCTCCCCCTCGGCGTCCTCCTCCTCTCCTCTACCGGGTGCATGATTAAAAGACCTGAGAACAAGACTCTCATCCGTCGATACCCCAAAAACCCACTCCCCTTTCCCAACAATACCACCACCGCCACCAGCATTCAAAAACCCCGCCCGGTGAACCGAAGCCCCAACATTAACCACTTGCCAAAGTGCCTTCTCATCATCATCCTCCCTTCCCGCTCCCTTCCCAGCCAGCAAATCAAAAACATTAACCAGTCCATCCATCCCCCCACTAACTCCCCACCTCCCCTCCTCTTCTCCCCCGGCAAACCCCACAAACGAGACATCATCCCCATGACTCTCCGTGAACACCCAGGTCGGCTTCTCCCCCACCACTCTCCCATCCCAAACACAGACCCTCGAGGCCCGATCCTGCACCTCGGTCCCCGCGATGATTCCGCCCTGAGCGTTCGCAGAAGCGCATAGTACTGGTGCGCCCACGTTTATCTTGCTCGCCAAAGCGGCTGTCGGGGAGCAGCGGAGGTCCCAGAGTTTTATGAGCCCGTCAGCGCCCGAGGTTAGCAGGGTCTGTGGTGATGCGGGGTAGGTGCCAAGTGAGGTTATGTTTGTGTGTGCGTGTGGGATGGTGCTTGTTGGCGTTAGGGTAGATTTGGAGAAGGTTATTAGGGAGGAGGAGGAGGTTGAGGCGGCGATGTGCGTCTCAGAGAGGGGGGCTAGGGTGTATATGTAGGTTCCTGGTGGGGTAGAGAAGTTGCTTGTGCTGGTCTGGTGGAAGATGCGCGGGGGCATGGTGCGTATTGGTGGTGGTGATGGAACGCGAGAAGTGTATCATAATATTATCATATCGTACCATAGGAAAAAATGTTTCAAACACCAGACTATAAACGGAGATACCCGCCCGTTAGTGCCGCGTCGGCGGTTGCTCCTAGGGCAACCTATCGTTTCGTCCGGGCCTCTTCCCCCCATAGATATCATACTCGAATAGTTCTAGTCGGGTTTCTGAAACAACCACACTACAGTACCATACCGGTACTCGTACCTCCATTCTGCCTAACCCCTGAAACCGGGGTATAGGCTCGGCTGTCCAACGTTACAATAACTTCCAACCCGGCAGCCTGCAGCACAAAAACTCACTCGACACCAACCGCCCCAACCAAACAAGCGAGCATTCACCAACGCCGAGCGGGGTGTAGATTTGCTCCATCCTGTATTGCGATGCACGCGGGCACCCAAGGTACAAGTACACGGTCTAAATCGCGCCGGCTGGCCGCCAGAACAGAGCAGCGTAGATAGAGCGAGTGCGCACAAGTCACGCCTCCTGTTCATAGAGTACCGGTACGCTACCGTACTTGTAGAATACCAGTACAATATCGCGCAATACAATACAAATACCGCCCAAGACCCCCTCCCCCCTCCCCCCTCCCATCCATACATCCGCCACTACAATCATGCAAAAAAGTATATATAAAAAAAGTATAAAAAAAAACCCAAACCACTTCATCTTCCCTCATAACCACAAACCCTAAACCCTTCCAGAAACCGGATCAAAAACTGGAACTCTCTAGTACGTCATCCAAGACCGGGGATATCACTAATCCCCCCCCTAGCACCGACCCCACCGACGACGACAAAGAGAAGAGGACCAACGCCAAAGAACACCACCGGTGACTCCAAGTTCATTTTGGGGCCGCCTGCGGCTGTGGGGGCCGTCTGTTGAGATATCACCGTTTGGGTGGAGTACTCCTCTTGTTTCAACTTTGGCTTCGTCGCCGACGGTGGAGAGGGCGGTCGGAAAGAAGAGGATTAGTGTATGAAGCAGGCGGGCCGACACTATATACAGTACCCTTATTTCGACAAGAATGCGAAGGAGTTGGGGAAGTGGGTTGTCGAGGCGGGGAGGGGCTGCAGGAGAACGGTTTTGAGGACTCGCAGAAGGAGGTTATCAATCTTGATAAAGTTATTGGGGGGAGGGGTTCAGGGGATTGTATATAGTCTTTTCTTCCAACTACTACAAACAAAAAAGTGTTAATAACGAGGAAGAAAGAAAGAAAGAAAGAGATATCCCTCCTTTACAAGCAATGATACCCATTATACCAACCCACTCTGCTACGCACACTTCTCCCCTCCGGACAATCCAATCCAATTCAACGTATCAATCACTATCGTCTGTAAAGCTTTCCTAAGCCCTCACAAACGCTACAAAAACATCCCCCGTCAGCAAATCAGGCCAGCAAACGAGAACAGGGAGGGAGAAGGGGAAAAAGAGAAAAAAAACTTACTAGCATCAATCTGCTTAATCCTTGGTAAAGCCAACTTAATCTTGGTCCTGTACCCCGCGGCGGCCTCCCGCATGAGCGGGTTCCCCTCAAAGTAAACCGTGACCAATTCTTCCAAACCGCCCAACTCCTGCTCGATCTCCTCGAACGAGGCGAGTTTGTTATTGCTCGCCCACAACTCCTCGAGGTGCGGCAGGTGCGCAAGATTGGCGAGCTGGGCGATCTGGTTATTCGAGATGTCCAGGACGCGCAGGTTTTTGTTGGTATCGAGGCCTGCGATGGAAGTCAGAGCGTTGTGGCTGATGTAGAGCTCTTCGAGAGAGGTTAGCTCGTCCAAGCCGGTGATGCTGGTTAGGCGATTGGATTGAATTGAGAGGATTCTGAGGTTTTTCAAAGTCGATAGGTTCTATCGAGAGGGAGAGTAGGTTAGGTGATATCCGTAGGGGGAGGGGGGGGTCAAAACTTTTAACTCAGTGATTTTGTTCTTCCCCAACCAGAGCTCTTGCAAAGCCGTCAAGTGTCCGATATTCTCAATCTCCTACAAAAAACACGGCGCCCTCCCCCCATTAGCCATCTTTTCCCTTCCGCCCCCCTCAAGTCGAGAAAAAACATACCCGAATCCGATTAGCCCCCAACTCCAGGTTCCGCAAAACCGCTAGCCCCTCCAGCCCCTCAATCCTGGAAATCCTATTCTGCACAAAGTACAAGTTCTGCAACTTGGCAAGGTGGGAAATGCGCTTGATGTGCTTCAAATTGTTGAAGCTTAGGTCGAGATTCTCCAGATTCGCTAGGTCCTCTAGGCCGTGTATGTGCGCGATGTGGTTGTCATAGAGGTCGAGGTCGACGAGGGTTCGCGCGAGCGGGGAGAGACATTCAATGTCCGTGATGTTGTTTTGGCGGAGGCAGAGTTTCTGCACATGTGTGAAGCGCTCGAGCTTGAGGGAGCGGATGGAGGAGATGCGCAGGTGTACTAGTTCAATATCCTAATTGTCGATTGGGCGGGTCAGACTCATCGAATAAGAAGGGAAGAGAAAAAAGAAAAAAAAAGAAGCAATAAATACTACCCACCACAACGTCGAGAGGATAATCATCGAGTAGATCTATAGCCCACGCTCACGCCTTAGCTCGCTCTCTATCCCACCATCCATAACAAACCAGGCGCATCAAAAAAATACCTTCATCATCATCGATGACCTCCACCGAAGGATCCTCAATAACCCTTCCATTAGCCACAGCTGTATTAGTACCATCCTCCTCCTCCTCAGTCTCTATCTCGGCCTCATTACCGCCAACCGGCGTGCGCTGATGATCATCCTTCTCTGCCCTATTATTCACTGATCTCGTGCTCTCGTCCGTCATGGCTACGAGTGGTGGCGGCGGTGTGTAACTATAATTTCTGATGTGTGGTCGCTGAGGGGGAATAAGAATCGAGTTTGGGCGGGTAGTTAGCTTCAAACTCCGAAGGGAAGAGAAGAAAGGGAAAGAAAAAAAATAAGATAAGCTGTTTGATGATGTTAAAATAAAATGGTTGCCTACCCCGTGTTATCTGCACTGCTGCTGGCACTTGTCTTGTCTTGTCTTGTTTGCTCTAAGTTAATTTACCCCTCGTTTATCGACGTATCATAGCTTGGTGGTCGCAGGGTTTTAAACATGACTTGCGCGATCTAGTGTGCTGTAGACTACTGTATCATACTTGTAACTTTTCTACCGACGGATTTAGGGCAACTTAGGGTCCTCACTGGAAAAAATTGTTTAACTTGTGACCAGAGGGGAGCATGATAGGTAACTTACAATCCCGGTATGACACCAGCATACCCATACCGACCTACATACCCGTCGGGACAAGAATAAAAATTAACCCCATTTACTCAAGTTAGAGGGGATCAACTCGAGCATGATATCATATTATGTATACGGTGGTTTGCTTTCACCAATTCTGCCAACACTTCCCCATTACAAATATATTCAATCGACCCCTAACTAGCATACCCACCTTCCCTCCCCCTCCCCTTCCCCTTCCCCTACCTCACCCCCTAAACCCCCTCCCCTCACAAAACTGCTTCCATTGATGCTTTCCCCGCATACCAGTCCCACCGCTAAGCAATAGAGGAGAGAAAAAGAGAGAATGCCGAGAAGAGCAGCAGGTACTAAAGAAAGAAAGGGTTCAGTAATAGAGTCACAAGAATAAAGCTACTATGATTGGGGCTTTACAAAGGGAAAGTGAAGACGAAGAAATGAAAATGAGAAGAGAAAAAGAAAAAGAAAAAGAAAAAACGAGATAATATCAAAAGATCGCTGACCCCAGATACACGAAAGATTTTTTGCGCAAAATAAAGACTCCTGAAGCATGTTCGAGAATGAATCAGCAGAAAATAAAAGGGAGGAAAAAATAATGGAGGCGGAAGATGAGAACAAAAAAGAAAGGAGGATATAAAAAACAGCATATACAGTATGCAGAGTTAACAATAAGATAATAGGAGAGGGGTAGTGTGCGAGAAGCATTACAAAAGAAACACGGCAGTAGCCAGCTGAATGAGATTCAACGCCCATGGGCGTGGAATATCAGGGAAAAAAGACAAAAACGAGAACATAAAAAAAGATATACTGGACAATAAGCCAGTGGCAAGGAATAAAAGGCCTTAGATCACGTTCCAAGGAATCTCGCCTCAGTTCCTGATCCCAACAGCATTTCCCATCGACCAGCATTTTTGTATGAGTAGACATCCTACCGCAGCTGCTCCATCCAATGATTGCGCTTTTTCAATCACATACTCCCCAAAAATTATGCACGCAGTTGTACAGCCGTAATTATCGGCATCTCACCATGTGTTGATGCAAGAAACCCCATTTTCAAAATAGAAAGACCAAGAAAAGCAAATCCACCATAACATCGAAAGCCACCACAAGGAGCCACCTATACGGATCGTCACAGGGATACGTCCAGGACCAGCGTTACATCCCGAACGTCTTGTGTCGACAGATCCTCTAGAACGGGGATGAGATCTAATAACTCGTTGTCGTGAGCATCGGAAAACCAACTGCTAATAGGCACGGCGTGTTGTGGGTGGAAGATGTAACTTGTAGGGGAGTTGTCGATGATGATAGTATCCTTAAGGTCCCGGCCAAGTTGGGATAGATCCTATAATAATTGTCAGAATTAATAATATCCGAGATGATATCGCACCGTCTAAAATACCTTCACATAATTTCCCTGGTTGTTGAAGCAACTATCCCTGAAAAGGCGATGATGGACGACGTGATGGATATCTAGCTGATCTAGTAACGGATCGCCATACTGTGACACGGGCATCAGAAACGCGTATATATAAATCTACCGTAACAGAAATATACCTTCGAGACAGAAGCTGTAAATACAACGACCTCGTATAGTTCACCAACTCTCTTCATGAACTCATCTACACCGGGTCTCTTAATAACATAGACATTGTGAAAACTCCCCTCGATGTCTACAGGAATAGTAAAATCGGCTTGGTGCAAGACCTAGAGCGAGAGATTAGCGGAGCAAGCCCCAACAGCAGGTACCGGACTACATACCTTGAAGCTACTATGTACCAGGGTCTCGTCCAAGTCCAGTACCAAGCACTTCTTTCCCTCGAATCTGGGAGCTAGCGGAGGTAGCAACCACTGCTGCCTCTCGTCCAGCGACGGTGTACGTATTAACGCGGCATCGCGGGGGTCGTGGGGATAACCTCCATCCGAGCTCCTCTGCTGTGTGTCATCACTCTCACTATCCCGACCAGATTCCTCGGAATGTGGAGGAAGTGGCAACTGAATCTTGAGCTCCGAGCCCTTCTTTCCGGTAGCGTCATAATCTTCACCATCTGCATCGCGCATCTCAATATCCTCTGAAGTCGAGGTGCCGGCCTCCTTCGACGACTGGGGGTCGGAAGTAGTAAAATCGGGCTCGTCTTTTTCGGTTTGGGGCGCCGTTGGTGTAGGCGCCTGTATGGTGACAGTTGGTGTGCTACCGGACAACAAGGAACTGTTTTGCCCCGCCCCCGCCCCTTCTTTGGCAGTGGAGTCATCTTTTACAACAATCTTCTCCCCAACAAGAACTTCACCATCCACCCGCTTTATCTTATCCTCATCCTCGGATCCGGAGCTTAACGCAACAGATGCGGCAGATGTCGGGTCCCCCTTGGTGGTCTCGGAACGGATTGTATTGCCATCATCCCCAGGCTTCCCAGCATCCGCTGCATCCCTAGATTCGGCAACACCGCTATCTTTTGAAGTTTTAAGTGCATGCTCTTTCCCGACAGGAGTTGCTTTGCGGGAAGATGCAGATCCAGGCCTCTTATTAGTCCTGCGTGGACCGGGTTGCATTTCCTCCGCAGATGCGCCACTTCGGCAGCATAAAAATCCGAAAAACTTCCCCAAACCGCCAGCCTGTTTGCGAGGACGTCCTTCTTCACCAGAGTTCAAACTACTCCCATTACTCCCCGCCTCTCTTCTCCGCCTTCCCTTACGACTGGTGGTAGACGTATTGTCGCCGGTCGCGGTGACAGCGGTACTGCTTGTGGAGGTTGGTGACTGCTCAGCCTGCTTTGTTGATGACGTCCGGGTGGGGACAGCGAGCAACGAGTTTCGCTTCTGAGAAGCGGAGGCGTTAGCAGTTGACAGCGCAGCAGGTGGCGGCACCTCGGTTCCAGCAGTCGAGGTTGATGGAGGAGGCACAGGTGTTGATGGAGATGATGAAGGTTCGTCTGCAGAGGAGCGTGGGGCAATTGGTTGTATCGACGAAGTTCTAATGGGGGGTGCCGGGGGTGCTAAAGGGGATGACTCCGAATTACGGCCTTTATCTGAATCTATAGATAGCATTAGCACGTTGCATCCATTGAATTTCCAAGACTTCTGGCAAAACGGATGGCCCGAGAGCGGATGGCAAGGAAAGGACAATAATAATATGATGATGTTGAAGTGGGAGGGAAGGGAGAAGAAGAGGATGATGCTTATGGTAGAACTACGCACCAGTAACATTCGACGAACTTCGCTCGTGTGAGATTGCCCGCGTGGCGGAGCCAGATGTCACGTCCCCATTCAAGGGTGCTTGTTTCTCGGTAGACATCTTAGAAAAGAGAAGACAGAAAAGTCCAAAATATCGAGCAACTTGGTCTAGAAGAAATTTAGAAACAGCTTCGGTTCGCGAAAAAACAACCCTTTATTTTTTCTTCTTTCTCCCACTTTCGATTCTAGGCCTCCTTATTATTCCAAACTCCCGCCCAGAAGGGAAGACAGAAATCAAAGAAAAAAGATGATATCCCAGGATGAGCCCACGACTTCGAATCTAACCCCGTAGAAGCAGCCTCGTGCACGAGAAACCCTTTTTTTTTTTTTCAGTGGCGACTTCCGCGGTGGAAAGGAAAAAGCGAACACACAAAAGAGAAAGGCCGAGAGGATCACGGTCGAAAGCAAATCGATCGGACGGACGGGGACGAGGATGGTCGGCGGGAAGGGGAAAAGGAAGGGAAGAGGGAGAGAAAGGCGATGGTTGCTGAGAGACGACGAGATAGATTGTAAAGGAAGTTTAATGAGCGTCCCTGCGTTGCTGGGGGTGATTTTTTCGATTAGTTGACAGCCGCCAACGAATGGAGCACAACTAAAACAGCAGGGCTGGGGGGGGGGGAGTGAAGACAGGGGACTGGGCAAGGCACAAGAAGGAGAAAACAACAGGAAAGAAAGGACGAAGGAAACAGATGGGGGGAGAGTTGTGGGAAAGGGAAAGGGGAGTGAGACGGGGGGGATGGAAGTTTAGAGGGGGGAGAGACCAAATGTAGCACAAGCGAGAGGAAAATCAGAATAAATAATTGAGGACTTTGGGAGGCACAAAAGAGCCGTCCGTAAGCTGTATAATATTGTAGATAAGTTATGATAATTTTGGATTCTAGGTTCTAGGTTTTCAGGCACTGCGAATGAATGGGAGAGTGCGGAAAGGCGGCGGAAACCAGAGCGGCGGGATTGTCGACGGGGGGGGGGTAAGAGTCGGTTCGAAAGGACGGAGAAGGGAAAGGAGAATAGGAATGGTATGATGCTGAAGGGGATTCCAATTACCGCTAGCGGTGCGGCGTGCGGCTTGGGCTGCACGCGAGAGAAGCCGTTTAAACCCTTCTAAGCTTCTTTCTCGTGCTCCCGGCGGTTGCGTTGGCGGATTGGGAATCGAACGAGCGAAAGGGCAAATGAATTGGCCAGAAGGGCAAAGAGAGTAAAAAAAGTAATTACTGGAAATTGAACGAGCGAAAATGAAAATGAATAAAAAAGGTCCTTCCCTTCCCACGAAACCCTCCCGAGGCGAAATTTTGTAGGAAGCGAGAAGAATAGAAAAGGGAAGAGGATGAGGAAGGGGGGAAGGGGGGAAAAAGAGAGTGCGGTAACTTTAGCTCGGTGTTGGTGGGTTGGATATTGGTGAAGCCTTGGGAAATGAAGTTGAACGCCATGATCCCTCCCTCCCTCTCACGCACCCTGACAAAAAAGTTACGCATAACAGACCAATCCAATCATCGCATTTCAGTAAGGCGTTAACCATTCATCACTCGTGCCATCGTTTGTATGATAGAAGTTACAATAAAAAAAAAGTAAACGTTCAGGAGGTTGTTAAGGCATTAGTTGGCATTGTTGACTACCATTGAGTTGAATTGATCTCTTATTCTCCTGCTGCTGGCAAGCGGCGTTGATCATTCGTTAAAGAATACCGGTACTCGATTCCTGCGCGGGCAAACAATACAATGAGAGAAGCTCACTTGTCCCGAGAGCTTCATCAAATGATCCACTTGGACCAGGATCATCTTCCTCCTTTTGGCATACTAAGACCCCAACCTCCACCAACCCATGTTACCATACTCGAGTACGAGTAAAGGTCCCCCCTTTCTAGGCAGTCGAAATGGTGCCAAGCTTTTATCCTGTGCCTCTTTCACGGAGGCGAAGTGTCACACTCTCACTGTTCCATTGCCCAACTGCTCGAGTACCGTATCCAATGCTCGAATAGGAACACGCTTCCGAATTCACCGTGGAATCAGAACACTTGTTTAGTTGTGTCAAAAATTAATTTGCCCAAAAGAGCCCCAAAACCTGGACAAGGCAAATCCTTCTAGCAAACAAAATGCACTTCCATTGCTAACCGCGACCATAACCCATCCTGCGCCACTACCGATAACTACTCGTACCCTATGATACAACAACCAGAAGACCGACACATCGTCACGAGTAACCACATAAATAACAAGAAAAACGCCGACAGAGAGCCATTGCGATAGCCGCCAGCCCAGAACCTCCAAACCGACCGAGCCATCAGATCAAGGAATGAGAAAGATGGATCTCTCCACGCAATGGAAAAGACAAAACGACGAAGAAAAAAGATGAATGAAAGGCTGAACTCCTGTATCCCCACCAAACACTTGATAACCCCCGACAAACACCCTATCTTTTGAGGAAAGAGGGAGAAATTTGAGATGGACAGAAAGAAAAGAAGGAGGGAAAAAAAAAGGACATCAAGATGTCGTCAAGATATTTATAAGAAAAGAGAGTGTGTGTGAGGCACCCCCCTCCGAACCAGTCCTTGAAAAAGCGAGATATATATAACGAGGAAGGAACCGTGTTCGGATTTATCGGATCATGAACTAATCTTCGATGGCGTAGTCATTCTCTCCGATGGCACCACCCCAGTGACGCGGCCCGAGCTTGAGGAATCGCCGCTTCTCGGCGACACTACCAACGGAAGAAGTGGAGCTGCTTCTGTGGATTGCCTTCTGGGTGGGGGAAAGAGGAGGAGCATCGACCACGGCGTCAATGACGGCGGTGGTGGGAGAGAGCTTGGGAGATGCTGGTGCCTTTGGGAAGGACGTAGAGTGGACCGGGCCGAGGGCAAGGAAGCCGGCTGGCTTGCGGATGGCATGGGTCTTGGGAGCGGTGAATGAGGAGGCAGACATTTTGACTGATTGTATGGGGATGGGAAAAGTTTTTGGTTTGTTTAGCTGTGGGGGGTTCTTCAGAAGATTGGGGCTGGACGGTTCTCTGATATAGCGCGCGTTGGGCTCGATGAGGATTTTCGGGCGGGATTGCTTCTCTGGTTTTCTGGTTCTGTGATGGGGAAAGAGGGACGAGGAGGGGAATCAGGGCGGTCCTTATATATGTCAACTTCGTCACCACTTAGTAGCGCACCGGGCTAAGAAATAATTTACCGACACTATGGAGGGGGGAGGCGGGGCAGGGCACGTCGACGTAGCATGATGATGGTGATGGTGGTGGTGGTGTTGGAGGGGCGAAAAAGCGGCGATAAGAACACAAACTTAGTTTGGTAAAAACGCAATCATTTCCCCCAAGTGTCTGCCTTTTTTTCATTTTTTTCTCAGGGCCAAGCTTTTGTGCCACCTTGCAGGAGCCCTTGAGATCGGATTTGCGGGCCAGATATTTTCTCTCCCACCCCTACCATGGTGGTTTCTATGAAACATAGATATCCGTGGAAGTAAGGTTTGCCATCCAAAAATCTGCAGCCCATATCAACAAGATAGGCCATCGCACAACACCAAGACGGGGGAAGGCCAAAGAAAAGTAAAAAGATTTTTTAAAATATCACAGTATTGGGCTACCGGTACACCACACCGAGTCGACGCACCCTGCACTCTGCGGAAGGCAACGAATCCGAGAGCACCTCTCACCCACGGAGGACGGGTCAAAGCAGGGACTTGTTCTCTGGAATTCTAAGTCCTAACCCCCCCCCTTCTTTTTCCTACCCGCTTTGCCTATGGTACTCGCTTTCCCGTACCCGGAGGTATCGTACAAGCATTGCTTATAATTCTGATGAGGTGGTGGTGGAGTGGTGGGGACAAACCTCCCCTACCGGTACTCGAGTACCGATACAGTACTGTCTCGAGCACTCGCGGTGCGGTGCGTATCGTTGGGTCGTCTGCGGACGTCAGCCGTTGTTTAAT